TTAGGGTTAGGATTAGGGTTAGGTTTAGGGTTAGGTTTAGGGTTAGGGCTAGGGTTAGGGTGCTGAGTGCTTCGGATGGAGCGGATTTGCCCTCCGCACTTATGTCGGCACGAATAAGGGCTTTGCGGTTTTGTTGGTGAACCGTCTAGTCTAGTGAAAATAAGGACTAGGGGAGATATGATAGCAGTGTTCCAGTATTTGAGGGGCTGCCACCTAGAAAAGGAGATTCAACCTATTCTCCAAAGCCCCTGAAGGAGACTCAATGGATGGAAGTAACCTAGAACTAAGAAGAAATTTTCTGACAGTGAGAACAATTAACCAGTTGAATTACTTGCCTCCAGAAGCTGTGGGTGCTCCACCACTGGAGGTTTTTAACAAGAGATTGGACGTCCATATGTTTGAAATGGTACAAGGTTTCCTGCCTGAGCAGGGGATTGGACTAGAAGACCTTCAGGGTCCCTTCCAACTCTGTTATTCTGCGAAGCTCTTCCATTAAGGCCAGTGGTGAGTTCCTACCAGTTTGGACTGGTTCAGCTAAACGGGTAGTGGTTTGGTATCCTAGGTTGCTGGAACCAGCAGCGACCCAGGCCTGCCACGCCCCCAAACTGGTTCTCCTGGCGGCACCAGAGGCGTTGCCTTCTTGTTTTTCAGGTCTGCGCATGCACACATCAAGTGTGCACATGCACAGCGCGCCCACAAGTGAACTGGCAGTAGTGCCTTCTGGAACCCACCCCTGATCAAGGTCCATGGAAATTGAAGCTTCTGAAAGGGGCTAGTGAGAGAGAAGTCTCCAGTTTGGGCAAAATTCAGTATTACGACAGAGTGGGCGTAAGAAGTTTGAAACTCTTGCTCAAGTGTTGTTGTAGGAGAAGGGGTGGAAGAACGTGGGTGTAGAGTCAAAAGAGGAATCAGCCTAGAATCTCTAAATAGTCACAAATGTACTGAGATCCTCATGAATTCTGTTGACCTTTATCTAGCCAAACTAGGGCTAATTATTACTTGAGTAGAGTCCTGTGCAAAGCCATGAGTACATCAGTTTAACTGGACCTTCATGTGTGGTCCTAATCTTTTGCACCTGACAGTCATGGAAAAAAACAGATGAGAATTCTTGGTTTTCTTTTCTTCAGTATCCGGCAATTAAAGGAAAGAGTCAACAACTTGAGAGAGAAACATGATCAAATTTACAATTTCACCCCACATGAAGTTGAACCCGAGGTCAATTGGTCCTCAACAATCGAAGAGAAGCAGGTAGGCCTTCTCCAAATCAGGAAATATTGATGTGCTTTCCTTTGGTTGCCTCCCTTTTGTTTTGAGACCTGGGCTGAGAGGATGGTGTTTAGGGCTCTGGAGGGATCTCTTCAATCAGAAATGTAACCTTCAAGAGGAAATCAGCTCATGTCAGAGTGCGCACAGCATGACTACTGTTTTGAGACAACCCAGGAGCAAAATACAGTACACAGAGGTTTTGTCTTTCAAACAGTGGTTTATATACAAGACTTATATATACATACATACACGTGTTAGACAAATACTAGGCAAGCAATTAATCTTCAACATTACACGGGGAACTACAATGGAGATAGAACAAGAGGAGAAACAGAAGTCCTCACGTGGCCTCCCTTATATATACAGCTTCTTAAAGTGGCAGTAACTCTGCTGAGTCATCCTCATGTCATCATCTCAGTTCACAGCCTTGCAGCAGCTGGTCAGCTATTAAATCATCATTACCCTGACAGCTTAGCTGGACTCCCCCCCACCCTAAATTCTGCTTAAAGGGACTCTTTTTTAAAAATATTAAATGAGTTTTCTTTGAGTTGGTAACCTTTCAAACCTGCCTCATCTGGGTGTGGTGGGAATTGAATTAATCGGAGGACATCCAGTTTGGGAATAACAAGATCCAATTGTTCAAATGTCCCTCCCCCTCCTTTTAATACTACAGTACATTCATGTCAGAAGCTCCTATGAAGGCACTTCTGGGTTAAAAGGAGTAGCTGGTGACATCACTGTTGCCTGGGGAGGTCTTTCATATCCCTGTTATTTTTCCCACCAAAGTGGTACCTATTTATCTACTTGCATTTGCATGGTTTTGGGCTGCTAGGTTGGTTTTTTAATAGCCATGCAAGAAACAAGGAGAGCTTGGAAGCAGGATCAGAATAAGAAGTATATGGAATACAGCACTTAGCCCCCTCCTATCTTCCCTGCCATGTTATCCATGAAAATTATCCTTCACCAAGCTGTTAGTTTCATTGGGAGAGATACTTACCCACTGTTTGCAATCCCCATAAATGTCCATTGTATTACTTGCCCTTTTCTTACATGTAAATCAGGAAGCATTACATATGTGCTCTGCAGCCTAGAATGACACAGTCCAGAATCCTATTTCTAGAGTTTTGGGCTGGCATTCTACATAAAACTCTTCCAGATTGTATGATCACTGTCATAATGTAACGGGGAGACGGAGTCTTGCTTTAGGTCAGCACTAGGCAACCTGCAGCCCTCTGCCACATTGGCCAACAAAACTAATTTTGCAGCTTCTTGAAATGGTCTTCTGAAAATGGGTGGGAAATAGTCTTGACTTCTTCCCAGTTTTCAGCACTCATCATAACAAACGTGTCAATTGTGGAGCTGGGACACAGTGGCTCAGTGGCTAAGATGCTGAGCTTGCCGAAGAGGAAGGTTGGCAGTTCGGCAGTTCGAATCCCTAGTGCCACATAATGGAGTGAGCTCCCGTTACTTGTCCCAGCTTCTGCCAACCTAGCAGTTTGAAAGCACTTTAAAAAATGCAAGTAGAAAAATAGGGACCACCTTTGGTGGGAAGGTAACAGTGTTCTGTGCGCCTTCGGCATTTAGTCATGCTGGCCACATGGCCATGGAGACGTCTTCAGACAGCACTGGCTCTTCAGCTTTGAAACAGAGATGAGCACCACCCCGTAGAGTTGAGAACAACTAGCACATATGTGCGAGGGGAACCTTTACATTTTACCTTAAGTTGTGAAGCAGAGGAGAACATAGCTTCTATCATTTTCAAAACTGCAACAGGCTTTGCATGGAACACTGGGGGACCACTGTCTGTTAAGTCCTTCCCCCAAGGCTTCTCACTTATTTTAAAATTTCATTATTTTAAAAAGCTATCTAAATTTATAGAAATCATAAACAGTAGATCCAACTGGGCTTGTGTGGTGGAATGTAGTCTGGAGTTGTGGGAGGGATGGGCTCCTTGCCACAGGATGAAGCGACAGCAGAGCTTGAAATGTCTGGTAGGCAGGAAGAGGGCAAGGTTGGACCCTCCCTAGAGTTCCCAGAGCATCTCTAATAGTTATGTAGATAATTGCAGATAATTGCTTTAGTCTGAATCTTCAGATTCTGTTCATAGCCAAATCATAGTGCAGTTACTCAGAACCAACTGCACATGCTGTTCTTGATTCTATGGGGCTGAGAGAAGATCCTTCTGAGCATGAGGTACCACCGTTCTTGCTAAATGGTAGCTGGATTTTTTTTATGTGCCCGGGCTCCTGGGACTATGGGAAATGATGTCCTTATCCCCTTTCCCGTGCCCTCTTTCCCAAGGAAATCTTGAACAACAGGGGCTTTGGCACAGACCTGCCATCAGTCAATGGTCAAGTAGAAGAGCATAACATCTTCCACAATGAGGTGATGGCTATTGGACCGCATATCAACAAAGAAGGTGAAAAGGTATCTCTCCTGTTTCCTTGGGTCTTTGGTCAGATGGGGAGTGGAGGGGAAGCAACAGCGAGATGTCTATGCTGCAAGAGATTTCCTGCATACTCCAGGCAGGAATTTTGGGAGTTATCACAGCAACTGGGCACCTAACGATGGAGTCTCTAATAAAATTGCTGCCAGTGTTCCAAGTAACATACCTATAGTTTGACTAAGACCATTCTGAGACTTCAGTGCTGATGCACTGAAGGAGAGAGATAGGGAGGAGAGAATGGGGATAGTTGGGGTGTTCTAGTCAAAACAAAGTAGTTTCCCTTGGGAACCAAGGACGACATTCCTGCAGGTGGAGCAGCATCCTGATTGGACCATGTGACTGATTGTTTTGAGAAAGTTCACAAAGTTTTACTTTTAATTAGGTGAAGATTGTGGGAAGAATCAGTCAATTTTCACCAGCCTGTGCCAATAATCCCCCCCCCTCTCTCTCTCTCTCTCTCTCTCTCTCTCTCTCTCTCTCTCTCTCTCTCTCTCTCTCTCTC